TATTCTGTGATTGTTTTGATTGCTGGACGACTGTGCCCATGTTAAGAGTAGGCATAAATAAATTGATAGCACCAGTCTTTCGTAATTAACTTCAAGCACTAACCTCACGGTCACTCAGTTGGGGGGTAATTAACAATTCGTACCCCAAGACCCGGGGATGCTTTGCATCTGAAAAAAACACTCTGAAAAAGACTCGAAAAAAGACTCTGAAAAAGGTCTCTGACTCTGAAAAAGACTCTGAATCCCACGAGGCTCTAGCCAGAGCTTCCATGGCATCTTGACAAGTTGACAACTACATCCGGAATATCTGGACTGTTCTCAGGCGAAGCGCGAAGTGACTGAACTCTCATGTTGCCATGAGAGGGACGGCTTTTTCAGGCTTCAGCCGTTGTCCAAGATTCCCCAGAATCCCCACTGCTGCGTCCTTCGTCTGGCATATGGCCTCTGAGGATACGATCCCACAGCAGGCACATGCCCCTGTGCAGCACCATTGCCGCATGGTGGATAGCCATTCTCAGTTATAACTTACAGAAGTGTGTTGGGAAACAAGGCCATCACAGAGTCATTCCATGTTCTTTTTCGTTTCGTTTCTTCTTAATATTCCATCTTCTCCTTTGAAATTCAGAGTTTGTACAGAGCGTTATTCCCTCCGGGCTCCAAATTAAATGTATAACGAGTCAGCCACATCCGTTCTTAATTCTAATACGCTTCTACCCTTCTTCTACCTAAGTTTTCTGAATCAAAGTTTTCGAAGTTTTCAAAGTTTTCAAAGACGATTATCATGGTTATGGCCTCCTATGTGCCAGATGGTTATGACCTCCTATGAGTCAGGAGGATTCTTTATCTGTTTCAGTGATCTTTTCTCCCTTGCTTGCTTCCCTCGAGTGTGTTTCCATCACTTTTACTCTGCGAAGTTTATAAAGGAAAAAAGGATCAAAAGGACGTACACCTGGATCCTTTCATGTGCAAGTTCTGCAACTGCCCATGATAGAGATGACCATTGAGAGTCATTGACTACCCTCTCGAAAGGTTCTTTTTTTTTTTCAATAAGAGTTGCTACCCCTCAGAGTCTCAGTTCTTGGAAGCAGCTCCCTTAAGACATCCTTCAAAAATTGGGACGAAACAAAGAACATAGACATAAGAAATTTTGAATGACGCCTTAAAAATTTTGCACGACATGACGCCTTACAAATTTTGCATGACGCCTGTGCGGCCATGGGTTTTCAAAGATGATATGGATACATGCTCAGAAATTGTCCAAACTACCAATCTTTTGGAGCATAGCTGAACAACCAAACGGTCCAAAGTACCAATGTTTTTCAAGAACACGGTTGAAACTCAGTTCACACGAACCTGCGTAGTGCGGTTACCCGTACACACAGAGCACTTCGCTTCTGGCCTGGGCCCTGGGCCCTGGGCCAGTAGCAAAAGCAGAGGCCACTTTGAATTTTGAAAAGCGGCAGTAGTAGCAGGCTCGCCGGCCTTGGAAGGGAGGCAGCTTCATCAACTACGGCTTTTGTGAACTGGTGGATTATTAAAAGAATAATTCACTGCCCACTCCTTACCACGTGAAAAATCTTCGTGATGTAAAAAAAAAATAAAAAAAAAATCTTAGTGACGTGAGTGTTGCATGTGTCCCAAGACTTCAGCAGTCCCACCCCTGAGTCCTTGCAAGTTGCCACACGAAGATCTTGGTGTGCATTTGTCCCAAAATTTCCGCAGTCCCACTCCTAACCACATGAAAATCTTAGTGGGCATGTGTCCCAATATCTCAGCAGTCCCACTCCTAACGACATGAAAATCTTCGTGTGCACGTGTCTTTTTTTTTTCTTTTTTTTTTTTTTTTGTGTGTGTGTGTGTGTGTGTGTGTGTAAGGGCTACAACCTTGAGATATCGTCATTCATTGAGCTGAGCGGCCCCAGGGAATTCACAATGATTTTATCACTTTCTGAATACAGTTGAACAGTTCACAAAAAAAGGGACAATACACGTGTATGTTACACATACTTGTTAAGCTCCTGTAGTGGCGGATTTTTAATTGGATAAGGTTGAACGGAACTTGAACCGTTGAACATGATGCCAAAAGGCCGAGGGTATCTCCACGTGGCCACATGCACCTATGAGAATATGCGGATGTCCTGCCTGATCTGCACCGGGCCACCGGCCTGATGCAGATTCAGACCCAGATATGCAGATGGGGGACGCCCGAGTACGCAACGTTGTATCTGTACTAATCCACAAGTCCGCCCGCCGCGGCACACCTCTTCCTGGCCCCCATCATCTCCTGCCAGCTCTCACGAACGAGAGAGGGAATGAAGCACGTCTTCCCCCCGCTCCACTTTTCCATCGTGTTTCATCCTTCCCCAGGTCCCCTCCCCCCGCTCGTCATCCCACACCCAACTGATCGCCTGGAGGGACGTGTGTGTATACATGAAACTTTATGAAAGACAAAATCAAAATCAAAGACGGATTCAAAATCAAAGACGAATTGATTTTCAAAGAAACAGGTCAGAACATGGAAAGAGAAAACAAAGCCAGCCCAGAATCGGATTCCCTCATATTGCCACATGTCCATCGACTTAACATACCATCTTCCTCCTGGACCTCCTCCCCTCCCTCCCTCCTCCACCCCTGGAGCCTCACAATTATTCTTCTCCTCCCACGATAGTAAACCAATATCCTCTCTCTCTCTCTCTCTCTCTCTCTCTCTCTCTCTCTCTCTCTCTCTCTCTCTTTGAAAAGGAGAGGGAAGACTGCCTGGAGATATCATTATCGACGGAAGCTCATTTGCATGCCAACTCAAAAAGACAGACAACAGTCCGAATCCTTCATCAATCCGAAACAAACTCGAAATTTCCTGGCAAAATCATTTCACCGGAGCCTTCTAAAGTTTAACCCTCTCCACGTGTCCACTTGTTCCGTCCTACGATGATCTCTTTGAAAGATCTGCGCCCCTCTACTTTCACCACTCGATATATTAGTCGTATTGGATGTTCAAGTTAAAAAAAAAAAAAAAAAGTTCCTACTCCTCGGTTTTGTTGTGCTGTGCTCTTCGCTGTTTTAGGGCAGTTCTGAGCTTGTCACATATTCTCCATCTCCTCGTTGTGACATCTCAGAGCTCAAAAGTCTCCAGGAACGAGGCCATGCTCTAAGGATGGATCCAGTCTATTAGTCTAATGGTGGGGAGTGGCATCTGTGGTACTCTTGACAGCCTCCAAAGTCCACACCGTCTGCCAAGTCCGTACGTCGCATTTCCTCGTGCCGTGCATCCCTGACGAGAACCGTGACGCGGCAATCGACATACCTTGGGAGTAGTGTCCACCACGCTGGTGATTTCTGATCTCCGTTTGACGCAACTTTACCGACAGAATGGAGTTGTGTGCATATCCTCTCCGTCTTTTCATGTCAAGCCTGTGCAATCCTCTTCTATTCTTCTTCATCGTCATTTCCTGCACTGCCGCGTTTCATTTCGATTAAACATGCGGCGATCTCTATGACATATTCCCGGTCAAAAGGCAAACTTGTTTGGTACTGCCAGCACCATTCTGATCTGTCTCCGAGAGGTGCATATGCTTTCATTTTGCCGACGTGAAAGGTTCCGAGTGGTGCGCGTGCTTTCACAATGAGAAACGTGTTGTACTACGTGCTTTCCCTCTGCAAAACGTGCACGGGCTTAAGCGTCCCAGTGTGACACGTGTACGTCCTTTCTAGTCCAAAACGTGCATGTGCCATGCAACGGTGACAGGTACACGTGCTTAACCAAGGTGCACGCGCTCCTTTGCCCTTGCGGTGCACGTGCTTTACGGACGTGAAAGGTGCACGTGCATTGCCGACATGGAAGGTGCACGTCCTGTGCGCCAAGTCTGCTGACGCATAATGCATATCAAATACAACGCTCCTCGCAGCATGCGCCTTTGGGGAAAGTCCTTTCCAGTCGGCAGAGCACTCACGAGTCATAACAAACAACAGGGAAAAGCGGAAGAAATAGGTGTCTACCTATTGACCACAGCTCGGGCTCTCATCACTCCTCTGAGTCCTCTATAACATGTCCCTGCTCTCAAGGTTCACATGTCACTCGCACGTCCATCCTGACAAGGGACGTCTTCTCCTCAGCCTCCTCGTTCCACTTCTATTTTTTTTACTTTCATTTCTACAACAAGGGAATTCGTGTTCCAATTCACACAAACATACCCCATCCTTAAACATTCAGTGGACAAACAGTGTTATGCTACAAAACACGGTACCGGCCGACACATCTGTCATGAAATTCCTAGACAAAGACTAACCAGGAATACGCCGGACGAGATTTGTTATAAACGTTGACGAAACAGTTAAATACTTGTTACAAAAGTGCAGTTAACCGAGACTCTTGTATATTGCCCTTCTACCATCTTCGGTCAAACCGAATTGAACGCAGAGCCATCACATGTCAGGAATTATCGGTTCCTCAGTCCCCATACAGCGGGAAAAAAGAGAACCACGCGTTCAAGCCACTAGACCACGCGTTCGCTTCGGCTGCAGACGGTAATGTCACTTGATCAACTCTTTGTCCAGCATAAAAACCAAATTCAAAATTCTATCAAAATTACCCACTCATAGCGGCCCTTTTCCAATGTAGATTTATTGCATAGCCAAGAGACATATTGCATAGACAAGATACATACTGCATCGACAAGAGACATACTACATCGACAAGAGACATACTGCATCGACTATACTGCATAGACAAGAGACATACTGCATAGACACGAGACTTGTCCTTTCGGCTACAAAGGCAACTGAACCGTGCTGTAGTACAACGCTTTCCTGCACGACCAGCATCAAGTGACAAAGAACAAAAGGAGACGGGCGCATGGCAGAAAAGAGCATCGTGGATAGATCACGCTGGGGAAAGGAAATTGTCTCAACAAACATGCTCGCCAGCCTTGCCATGTGATTGCAATATTTCAAAACGCCATCTGATTGCAAGTTTTCAAAACACAATCATTAATATGAAGTAGTTCCCAAGCCAATTTTCATTTCCCTTACACTGCTGATTCTGTGCTGAAGTGTTTTTGAAACGTCATCAACTCTGGTCAACAATGGCACATGAGAACACACCCCTGGTGAACAACTCGGCCCATACAACATCACTCAAATCATCGTCGACCACGGATGCTAACGGACTATCACGGACACACTGAACACGCAGCGCATCTATCCCTCAAACACGCTGTTTCTTACTCACATGAACATTCACCTCCCATACGCCTCCCCTACAGACAATCGCATCAACATTCTCCCCCCCTACCTCCCATACGCCTCCCCTACAGACAATCATTGAATTTCTCCCCCCCTACATTCTCCCCCCATACGCCTGAGCTACAGACATTGGCATCAACATTCTCCCCCAACGTTCTCCCCCCCTAAATCTCTTATTAGGGCATACTCGCACTTCTTCACCCGAATACAACGTAACGTACGGTCATTAAAGCTGTATTTCGGGTACTTTTCAGCCTAGATAAAGCAATCCGTATGTTGTATTCGGGTACAGAAGGTTGGACCACTTCGGCTTCTTTCCAAACAAATTCAGGAAATCATCCTATGAACACACTATTCGTTTCGCTGTGTCTGTAGGGTAGACCAGCCTTCCCCCTCAACCCCCCCGAGATCGGCTAATATGTCTACCGGGCACCTATGCGGAGACAATAAGAGTCGTCTCCACTATAATTCTCGGTTCCACGAAATAGCTAAAGAGATGAACCTGCTGCGAACGGAGTTCAGCATCCCCTCCATGAGAGCTACAGTAGAATGGCCGCGACACTCATCGTGCAGAACGACTCCACGAGCACAGGGGCTGCATGTATATTACCGAACATTTATGACCTCACATGATTGGCTCTTTGAGGCGACGTTGACCCAGGATTACCGACCGGTCACTGGCAGCAACGCCTACGGTAAACCTATGTCAGGAACCTTACCGACCGGTCACTGGCAGCAACGCCTACGGTAAACCTATGTCAGGAACCTTAGTATCACACACTATCCCGCGCCATAGACGCCAGGCTAGTCTTTCGAAAGGCTAGCATCGTTAGGTTATTAAACGTCGCCGTATCACACACACAGCGCAACAGTCAACGGTAATAAAGATCCAGTACCCACAGAACTTCTTTCCGCCTACAGTCAACACTCGTTGATCCCCTGATGACGGACAAACACCCACACCCCTGTAACAGTTCTGGTGTCTTCACTTGCGCCAATGCTTTGCGACACAATTCAACAGTGAGAGAACGCAAGTTCCAGAGTCCCAGTGAGTGGAACTACGAGCTCTGCCAACCTAAGTCCCAGAGTCCCAGCGTCCGTCCGCTCCTAGATAATTCCGCGAAGGCTTCGCCACAGTTAAAGAAACCGACAGCGTGCGACCAACGGACTCCTCGCAGCACCTCCTCGTTCATTCGCCGCATACCAGCCACTCCAAATTTCTCTCCCGAAAACATCCGTCTCTTTCTCAGACAGCAACCTCGAGGCTCCCTAAACTTCCTAGCTGATTTGCATACCTCACTTCCCGTTCCCCTCTCCATATGCACTGTCAAATTGATGCCCCTTTCCTGCAATGTCAGAGCGCTTTCCTCCGCCAATACGTTGTCTGCATCACACGTCGACTCCACGGAACCACGTACAACGTAGTCTGCGTCACTCCGTCACCTCCGAGGACCCATGCCCCCCTTCCATCCCCTACATTTTCTCGTGCTCTTTAGGCGGTAGCCGCAGTACACAATACCATCGCTCCCGGCTATCACGAGTATCTCTCACACATCCCACACAGCGGCTACCTCTTCTCCTTCGCTGGCCGGCCAGCTTACCACCACCTTACTTCTATTCCAGTACGCAGCCTTTCACTGCTGAGATTGTCCATAGCCTGCCTTCCCCTTGACGGCCTCCGTAGCGGATTTCGCCTTCTCCTGTATGCTTTCCATCGCCGACTTCGCCGACTCTTGGACAGCATGTATCGCGCTAGCAGTCTGGTTTCTGAACGCCGCGTTTGTCTCCGCCACCGCCTCCTTGGCCAGCTGAATATTTTCGGCCACCGACCCCTTCGCTGCCTCGTACCTCTCTTGAGTTCCTTCTTTCGCCGCCTGGGACCTCTCCGCTGCCGTCTGCTTGGCCGCCTCCGTCTTCTCCGCCGCCATCCGCTTGGCTGCCTCCGTCTTCTCAGCCGCCGCCTCCTTCAGCTCCTGCGTTTTCTGCGCCGCCATCTCCTTCACGGCCTCTGCCTTCTGCGCCGCGGTCTCCTTCAGTTCCTCATACTTCTCCCGACCGGCCTCGCCAATCTGCCCCGCACCAGAACGAGCCTTCTCCGACGCCATTTCCCTTCGCTGTTCCCCTCCAACTTTCGCTACCCGAATGCTTCACTAACCAAACCGACAACTGGAACGTCTCTCTCCACTTAGGAGAGCACTTGTCGAGCGAGTGGCAACTCCCTGACCACACACCTCTCCCTTTCTCTCTTCTTTCCCACAGACAAACCAATCAAATTCTTCCTAATCCAAAGCTGAAAGGTCACAGCGGAGAGCGATGATCCCAAAGGAGACGGTGGAACATTTATACGCTAAACTCAGTCTTCTGATGAGCATCGCAAACCCGGGCGAACGCCAGGATGTCACACGCTGCTACCGTACTCACGACAAGAATTCCCGATCTCGCTTGCTGGTGATGCGGGAGATTGCACTACATTTATTTATATGTGATGAAGGTGCAGTGTGGGTGTTAATTTTTGTTGATGTTTTGGAGGTCGGTATTAATTAATGGGGACGTTTTGGAGGTGTCCCGCTCGCTCACTATGGGCATCGCCACACCACTGTCGAAATGTGCAACAAACTGAGAATGAGCTTCCCCCTACAACATGGCCACATGCACACGCCACGTTTTTGTCTTTTTCACATTTCGAGGGCGATGTGGCGAGGCCCTATGCCCGGAAGTACTTGCTTGCAGATCCGTCTGAAACTGACATACCGCGAGGCCGCGGGCTCGCAGCCGGTAGTGCCGACCAGCGTAATATGGTCGCAGATGTTTGTTGTGTAGTCACATGAGAAACCAATCACAGGAAGTTAGATAGGGCGGCGTCCTCCCAGCAGAGACTGCTGATGTTTTGGCCTACCAAAGGATTTCCAGCGTGATGCTATTGGCTGCCAGTTGCTGCAGACCTCAAGCCTGTTTTTGCCAGTTTGTTTTTTGCCCTTTTTCTTTTTGGGATAATTTGCAAAATACCCCCATGAGTTGAGACTAAAAGATGTGGGTAGAGCGGAATACACCTCTGACAAAATAATAGTTTTTGAAATGGCCCTAGCATCCGTTGGACCCCTACCCTCCAACTTCGCAAAATGCCCCAGTACTTACCAACTTTTTCTAAGCGCAATTGCAAAAGGCCAAGGCCCAACGGGGAGGTCCAGATTGCAAAGTTGTACACCTCCCTGACAGGGGCACAACAGAAAGAATTGGCCCAAAAATCTTAAATACGCGTGCAAAGCCAAGAGTGCAGCACCGCCACACCTACTCAAGAAATGGGGGCTCTTGAAAACGTTACGAGCTGTCAGAAACAGCTCAAGATATCAGCAAGAGTTGTCGTGGCCACAACTGCTCGAGAATTTGCTCTAGTTACCCAATTTCATGAGCTGTCAGAAGGGGGCCGTGAATTTCGCTCCAGGCTGTTCTTGAGTACCAGCCTGCAAGGACCATTTTTTTTAGGGAGCTCCGAAGGACGGACGGAAAGCCCAGAATTTCCTTGAGTGCACCTCGAGTCTGGGCAGACAACCCAGGCTGGCGCTGTCAGGTAGTGAAGCTTCTGAACTCGTAGAAGCTCATGAAAAATTGTTGGATCCCATAGTGCTACTCTAGAAGTTCAAGAGTCTAGAGCACATGCGGCTATGCGCGGGTTTCGGGACTTTTCTGGAGTCCGACAGCTCTACACCAACTCGTGAAAAGTTGCACGAGTATAGAGTAGTGCAGCGAGACCCATGAACTGAGATATGATCCAAAATATGAACCAGTAGAAAGGAGCAGCAGTTTGAGATGTATACAAAGGTAGGCAATGCCACGATTTCTCGCTGTCGCCCGTTTAAATGAGGATATTGCTTGCTCTGTGGGAAAAATAATAATAATAATAATAAATTTAAAAAATCCCTCCCCCTCAAAAAAGAAAGCAAGGCTGTAGCCTCGTTCTTGGGCTTCTTAGTGCAAAGATAATACCTCAAGGCTATCACACTTCAAAAAAAAAAAAGGGAAAAAAGTATTTACAGAAGGCTGAAACAGACCGCCAGATTCAAGGGCACACTCACACTACCACGTATTTTTGCAAAATCGCAAATTTTATGTAGTTTTTTGGGTCACAAGAGGCATGTATTTTGCGTGTTCACACAAAAGGGCACGTAAATGTCAGCGGCCTGGACAGCCGTGGGCGTACATATTTTGCCCACAAAATCGTATTTTTTTTTCCTCTACTGCTTTCTGGAAGCAAAAAAAAAAAAAAAAGTGCATTTTGCTGTCTGACTGCACACAACGTATTTTCGCACCTCAAGGCCAGGTCGCAACCCTGTCCTTTCTGCTTTGGGCAACAAATGGGTGAACGGTGTGACCCGCAGGTGCCATATAAATGCAAATTCACATACGTAAAATTTGCAGAAGTATGTGCTAGTGTGAGTATGCCCTCAGACTCGTTTTCTTGCTTACT